GTATAGTTCAATTTGCTTTTTTGGGTAAGATTGCATAAGAATTTTCTGTATAAAAATATCACGTGCATTATTCAAATAAAGGTTGTAGTAATTTATTAGACCTCTTTCGAAACTCAATTTATGGTGAAAAGTTTTAGGAAAAGAGCACCGCAAGATGTATTTGAGGAGAGCTTCGACAACAAAATTGCCATCAGTTTCGAAAGAGGTCTATTTTAGTACATTTATTTTTTAACCAGGCAGTGAATAATATAGTTGTCAAAAAGTTTGGCGGAACCTCTTTAACTAATTTAAATAGAGTTGCACATCTCATAAAAAATGATATCGAAAGAGGTTATAATGTAGTAGTGGTTGTATCTGCAGCCGCAGGCTTCACTGATCAAATGGCCCTNTATAAAGTAGAGGTAAATCACTCTATAATTGATGATATTTAAAAATATAAATGGCTATTATTTTTATAAATGAGTGTGTTAAATACTTTTAATATAGTACTTTTTAAAGTGTCCGTTCAGCGAAGCTGAAAAATAATGTGCAGATAAGGAAAGCTAAAAATATAATATTATAAGTAACCCCAGTTATGGATTAGGAAGAGGTGAAAAAGTGAAGAAAAAAAAAGGTAAACTCTGAGATATTTTATATTAAAAAATAGAGAGGTTACCTATGAATGAAAATATAGCAAAATTATTTTGCTTTATGGACGCATTTTGCAATGCGATAGACAAAAATTTCGCGAAAAAAACTCCCACCGAGTATTAACCCCCCAACCTCTACAAACCAAAATCCAAGCAATCCATACGGAGCACCAACGAAGTTAAAAACTTCATGAAAACTACTGCAGTCTTGTCAAGTCGAGAAAAAATCCGCCTAAAATGTTTTATCTTACAAAAAAAATACTCGATAAAATGCCTCTCTTTATAAACGTATTCGTAATAGTATCTCCGCGCTTTTCGATTTCTTTTTAGAGGAGTGCATTGCTATAGCAACCCTTATCGGCTACTAAAGTAGAGTTTGAACATTTTCAGTCAATGTTTTAGCCTGTGTAATATCATTTTTTTGATTAAGAGTAGTTGTAATCCATCTTTGCTGCGTCCTAGTGCTTCTTGAGCTCCAGAATCTTTTTTGTATTCAGCAGTACAAGCATGAGCTCGAATGATTGTCCCATCAATTATTTGCACTTCCAAATCTGGATCTTATGTATATTTTAACAATCTTTCTCAAATTCCCTTTTATACCAATTTTAAATCTCTTATGTACACTTCTGTAATTGCCATATATTTCTAATAAAAGTCCTCATTGGCAACCACTTCGTGTCACATGCTACACTGATTCCATGAGTTTTCTTAGATGATCTTCATTTTTACTATGTATTTCTTTTATACTTTTCAAATTTGCAAAAATTTGTTTCCATTTTGTTTCTTATGTGTAATATTTCATTTGAGTTTCTCCTTGTTTATTAACTGGTAAACTACCACTTTCTTCTTGCTTCTTTAAATTTTGGTTTATAGAAGTTAGCTAAAAACCAACTAATTCTATTTAAATAAAGGAGTAAGAACGCGTAGAAGATGAATTTATACAAGTTGATTCTAATGATATAGATGAAGCAATGGAAGAAGCATTTTCTGAAAGCGGTATAGTTTACCTATTTTATCAGGCCCTCAATGTATACGGCAAGATATGGAGCTCAAGCTTTATATGTAACAGCATTAGTTATAGGGTAAACCCTGGAGGTATTCATGTTGTATGGTTGGTGCATCTTATGTCCTATTTGAAATAGCAAATCTGCTAGAAAAGCATAAAGAGCAAAACAAAGAAACTACATGATGCCAAAATATTGCGGGATACAAAGTTACTATTTTTCTGTGAATGCCTTAGGGCGTAGATCTAGTGCAGTACATATTTTATCATACATGCCATGCTGCGGTGGAAAAGCATTGTTATACATATCTAATGCTACAGATAGTACAAATCAATCTGTAACCCCTAGAAAATTAGAGGAAATTTTTGATTACGCAAATTCATTTGCGCAGGGAAAACGCGCTATCCTAGAAGAAATTAATATAAATAGTGCTGCACAAGCAGTAGCAATAGGTTTTTAATTAAATAGAACTCAGTGCATGTATGCTTTGCATGCACTGAAGTTTCAAAAAAAATCCATTATGATCTACAATTAACGATTAGATTGACATAAGGTAAATAGTAGTTTAGAAATTAAGTAGATTTTCAATATACAATATACAATACATGCCTATAGAGATATTAATGCCCGCTCTTTCTCCAACAATGAGTAAAACCGGAGGAAAAATAGTAAAGTGGCATAAAAAAGAACAAGATAAAATTGAAGTGGGTGATGTCATTGCTGAAATAGAAACCGATAAAGCTATCATGGAATTTGAATCTGTAGATGAAGGAACCATGGCAAAAATCTTAGTGCCAGAGGGAACGAGTGGTGTACCTGTCAACCAGCTAATAGCTCTAATTCTGGAGGAAGAGGAAGATCAAGACGCACTTAATAACTATACCGCAACACCTTCCAGAAGTAACGATGAGACTAAAAAAGATGAAATTAAAAAAGAAGATAAGGAAAAACCAAATGTAGCAACACACAAAAATGATGAAGAC